CTCATTTGATGGCCTTTCAGGACGAAGGGCAGCTTCCTCTCTTTTCCCTACTTTCTCCCTCCCAAGCTTTGATGTTCTTTCAGGACCAAGGGCAGCTTCCTGTCTGTTCCTCACTTTGTCCTTCCCAAGCTTTGATTTTGGACTGATTTAATGGTCTTTCAGCACCAAGGGCAGCAAGGGCAGCTCCCCCTCTCTTCCCCCACCCCTTCCCCCCAGACTTTGTTTGGGGTTCATTGATGGCCTTTCAGGACCGAGGGCAGCTCCCTCTCTGTTCCCCACTTTCAGCCTCCAAGCTTTGATCTGGAGCTGGTTTGATGGCCTTTCAGGACCAAGGACAGCTCCCTTTCTCTTCCCCACTTTCTCCCTGCCAAGCTTTGATTTGGGGCTGATTTGATGGCCTTTCAGGACCAAGGGCAGCCCCCCCACTTTCTCCCTCCCAAGCTTTGATTTGGGGCTCATTTGAGGGCTTTTCAGGACCAAGGGCAGCTCCCTCTCTCTTCCCATTTTTTTCCTCCCAAGCTTTGATTTGGGGCTGATTTGAAGGCCTTTCAGGACCAAGGGCAGCTCCCTGGCTCTCCTTTCAATCTCGCCGCTTTGCCAGAGGCTCTCTTCCCTCACAGGAGAAGGAGGGAGCGGAGAAAAGGAGGAAGAGAGAAAGGAGAAAGAGGCGGAGTGATCTAAGGAGGGGTGGGTGGGGTGAGGGTGGAAGGGAGATGAATGTGGCAGGTTTTTGCTATAGGGACTCCGCAAACTAAACGAAACACCGTTTGATCTCCGAGAAGAGGCTGCGGAATAGACGCGGAGCTACTACAAATACGTTTAAGAAAGCAAAATATAGGGGGAGGAAAGGTTTAAAATGAGCTAAATACGGCACGCTTTTGAACTGACACCAATCCACGGGAAAGAGACAAGGATAGGAGCCTTCCTCATCCCTTCGTTGTTGCCTCCCATTGCACTCCAAGCATCTTCCTTAGGACATGTCAAGGAAGGACCTTGTGGAGTATTTCCTCTTCCAGCTGCTTTTGTTTAGAGGTGCAAAAGCCTCTTCTAACGCCAGAGGATGAATTACCCCTGATCAGTTGCCTTACAGACATAAATATATTGTTAGAGAAGCCGTCAATGAAGGCAGACTCAAAAAGGCGCACTCATGATGTTTCTCAAAGCGCATCTGGCACTCAAGTAGTCAATCGATTCTATTTACTGGCACCAGTTGAGACCCACCTGCTTCTCCTGCTTCCCTGGCCCTGTTTTCAAGGGATTTGGAGGAGTTAAGAAGGAAACCTATGCGTCACTGGATCCCTCCAGGTCTTTCCCTTTCAGTCCAAGGCTCTTCAGTAACTGACCCCTCCAAATCCGAAACTCTTCCGGCGTCGGATTGTTGTTAACCCTTGGAGGTATTTGTCCTAAGGGTGTAAACACGGGAGACAAGAGGATTGGCTCTCCTTTCACACACCCTTATCTTTTCTAGGGTTGCTGTGAGTTTTCCTAGCTGACCACATTCTCTCCTGATGTTTCACTCCATCTATGGCAGGCATCCTCAGAGGTTGTGAGGTCTGTTTGTTGGACGGCTGGGCTTATTATCAAAAGACCCTCCCCATGAATGCATAGCAGAGCAACTTATTAGCAGCAGCAGTAGCCCAAAGTGATAAAAAGAACAAAAACACACAGACCAATGTTATACTGCCCTTATAGGAGACTTTTCTTTGTAGTAAAATAATACGGTTGCACTATTTATAAAAATAAGGTTTCCATAACACAAATAAACAAATACATAGAAGCTTTAAACGCAGCAGCTTTCATGGTGGAGCTTTCTCACACGACCATAACACAAATGAACAAATACACACTAGCTTTACACACAGCAGCCTTCACACTGGAGCTTTCTCACAGGAGGCTTCTCTCACACAGAGGTTTACCTCACACTCCTCAGAAGGACACTAGCTTTGGCCCACTGACTCTAACAGGCTTCGGCCTACTAACTCTTTCAGTGCTTGACCCAGACTTTTGTAATCCAAAATAGGTAATTTTAAATATTTCTGACACAGTTGAGGTCTGTTTGAGGCAAATTCACTCTTGCCTCAAACAGACCAGAGTTCTTTCACCCACCCTGGACATTCCACAGATATATAAACCCCACTTGCTTAGTTTCCAACAGACTTCACAACCTCTGAGGATGCCTGCCATAGATGTGGGTGAAACGTCAGGAGAGAATGCTTCTGGAACTTGGCCAGACAGCCCGGAAAACTCACAGCAACCCAATGATTCCGGCTTTGGATATAATTCTTCAGGACTTGCCAGACAGTATCTATAATTCCCTTTTCACCCCACACACCCCAACATACACACAGAGAGGAGATCACAATTTCTGAAAGAACAGTCTCTGTCAACAACTCTACATTTCTGTAAGAAGAGCAGAAATTGATGTTGTTGACAGATGGTGTTGACAGACAATAGGAGCATTTCCTATTTCGCTTTTCATATCTGGACGTGAAATGCCTTGAGAGTAGATCAAAAGTCGCCTCACTCCAGAAGGGGGGTCATATTTTAATTTTGGGAAGAAGAAAATTCAGCTGGAGGCGCTGTTGATTTGAGATAGTAATCCGGTGCAGACCTCCTCCAAAGCAAACCCCGTGGCCTTCAGTGGGATTTCCTGCCAGGTAAGTGTGTCCAGTCTGCGAGGCCCAGCAAGCTCTGTTTGCCCCTGAGGGATGATCCACATCTCTTCCCCACAAACTCATTTTGTGTGGCTTGGATCCTGCTGGTGACAAATCTTAGATTGGATTCGTATCCACGGTGGAAAGTGAAGAAGAGGAGGATGAGGAAAAAGGGGCAGCCTCCTACTTCTGCCGGAAGGAAGGAAAGAAGGGGGGAGGAAGCCGGGGGCGTCCAGAGGAAGAAAGCCCCCCTCCCCCGAAGAGGCCTCCCTCCCGGCCCCACTTAAACCCAAGCCACTCACTTAGAGGCTATTAGAGGGGCGAATTAATCCCTTCCGCGGCGAATGATTAAATCCAGATAATTACACGGAATCGGTAAGTAATCATTCGTTATCTCAGCTAATTACGGCGAGTCACCGGCGAGCGGGCAGGAGGAATCCTCCCCGGGAAAATTGAAAATTAACGCCGAGTCCTGAGTCGGGGGAGAAGGGGGAGGAGGAAGGAAAGAAGGAAGGAAGGAATTCCCCCTTTTCTCTCCCTTTCCCTCTCCAAGGGAGATGGAGGAGGGCGCCTCGAAAGGGAGGGGGGCGGCAAGCGAAGGAAAGAAAGAAAGAAGAGATAGGAAGAGAAGGGAAAGGCAAACCCTCTCTGTTTCCCATTCCCTTAGGCGCCGAGTTCTCTTCCTCCTGCAAGAAGGGTTGATGCTCGATTGGCCTTCAAAGAGGGGCGCCCCTCTCTCTTCCCCATTCCCTCTCTTCTGGATTCCTACAGCCTTCTTTCTATTCCTCTGTAGCTCTGAAATCGGGGTGCCCAATGGGCCGGCTTTCCATGACTTACACAGAGGAAGAGGAGGAGGCAAAGGCCCAGGGAGAGGGTCTGGGGTCTTCTCAGGCCGAGAGGATCTAAGAGAAGGCGGCCAAGAGCCCGACTGGGCTTTGTTTAGGAGACAATGCCAGCCTTGCCCTCCTCAAGGCGCCGCCTCGGCTCTTCCGCTTGGTCTGGCCTCAGGCAGAGGGAAGGGAAGGTGGCCTCACTAACCCTTTATTATTGGCCTCCCCCTCCTCCAGGTCATAGCTCCCCTGAGAGGAAAGCGGAGTGGTGGTAATAATAATAATAATAATAATAATAATAATAATAATAATAATTATGGTAATAATAATAATACTAATAATAATAATAATAATAATAATAATAATAATAATAATAAATAAAAATAGCAGCGGCAATAATAATGAAAATAATTATGGTAATAATAATAATAATAATAATGCAAATATTTATTATATTGGCAGGGGTTGGACTGGATGGCCCATGAGGCCTCTTCCAACACTATGATTCTATGATTCTAAATAATACTGAAAATTGTAATAATACTGAAAAAAATAGTGAAAATAATATTGGAAATAATACTGAAAATAGTAATAATGCTGAAAATAGTAATAATAATGAACACAATAATGAAAATAATATTGAAAATAGTAATCATAATAAAAATGAAAATAATACTGAAAAAGAAATGAACATAATCATGAAAATACTATTGGAAATAGTAGTAATAATGAAAATAATAATGAAAATAATATTGAAAATAGTCATAATAATGAAAATAATAATGAAAATAATACTGAAGATAGTAATAATAATAATAGAGAAAATAGTAATAATAATGAAAATCATAATGAAAATAATAGTAATGAAAATAATACAGAAGATAGTAATAATAATAATGAAAATAATACTGAAAATAATAGTAATGAAAATAATACAGAAGATAGTAATAATAATAATGAAAATAATACTGAAAATAGTAATAATACTACTAAAATAATAATAATAATAATAATAATAATAATAATAATAATGAAAATAATATTGAAAATAATAATATTAATACTGAAAATAGTAATGATAATGAAAATAGTAATAATAATGAAAATAGTAGTAGTAATAGTAATAATACTATCTCATTTTGTTTTCGGGGTTCCCTTTGGTAGGGGCCTCCTTCCCACGAGGTGATTCCCTCCCTCCTTTCCCTTCCTCTCTCCTTCCCCTTCTCTTCCCTCCTTTTTCCTCTCCCCTCCGTTTAATCCTTCCCGCATATAAAAGAAGCTGTTAATCACCTACTGAAGAAGAGGGGAAACCCAAGGTTTTCTCTTTCTTTCTTCTTTCCTTCCTCCCTTCCTTCCCTTCACCAGTTTGTAATGAGGTGGACAGTTCTCTCTCCCCTTTCCCGGCTCCTCCAGCCTGGGATGATAATTAAAATTTAATGAAGCCCAAGACGAGAGAGAGAGAGAGAGAGAGAGAGAGAGAGGGAGTGGGGGGGGGCATCGTCTGGGGACTCGGGAAGAGAATATTTTAACTGTACATTTACACCCAGCGTCTGGCTTCAAAGACGTGACTGCTTTTAATCTCGAATTAGACAAACCACAGAGCCTGGGATGAAATCCGGGGCCTTGGCCTTCCTGGAGGAGAGTCACGGAAGGGCTTCCCTGTCGAGGGCCAGGAAGGCACACAAACACACAGAGAGAGGCGCGCCTCCAATGGCGTTGGCTTTCGAAGAGGGGATTTGTGGTGCTTTTGGGGTTGTTTCTCCTCCTCTTTTCTAAATGGGGTTAATGCAATATTAATCTGTTGTGGCTGTTTGTCAGAGTGCGGAGGGGTTTTTCTTCTTCTCCAGGAACCAATCGATGGGATGAGGCTGAGGGATGATGGAAGGAGGAAGGAAAGGCGGAAGAGAAACACAGACGCGCACAACTTCTCCTTCGCTGGTTTGAGCTTTTTCTCCTCCAAAAGGCTCTCAAGACTTCGGTAAGTAAGGTTTCCAGCTTTGTCTTTAAGTAGATATTCCTTTATATAAGTAGGGAAAGGAGCTAAGCTAGGCATGGGTCAATTTGGGCCCTCCAGGTGTTTTGGACTCCAATTCCCACAATTCCCAACAGCCTCAGGCTCCTTCCTTTCCTCCCCTCAGTTGCTTAAGAATGTTAGAATGTTGAGGCTGGCCAATCAGAACCCATATGCAAATTAGTAGGTAGAGATAGCTCATGCCTGGGCCAACTTGGGCCCTCCAGGAGCTTTGGACCTCAACTCCCACAATTCCTAACAGCCCCAAGCCCTTTCCTTTGCCCCTCAGCCGCTTAAGCTTTGAACTGGATTATATGGTAGACCAGGCATGGGCCAACTTGGGCCCTCCAGGAGCTTTGGACTTCAACTCCCATAATTCCTAACAGCCTCAGGCCCTTTCCTTTTCCCCCTCAGCCGCTTAAGCTTTGAACCGGATTATATGGCAGACCAGGCATGGGCCAACTTGGACCCTCTAGAAATTTTGGACTTCAACTCCCACCATTCCTAACAGCCTCAGGTTCTTTCCTTTTTCTCCTCAGCCGCTTAAACTTTGAACTGGATTATATGGTACACCAAGCATGGGACAACTTGGGCCCTCCAGGAGCTTTGGACTTCAACTCCCATAATTCCTAATAGCCTCAAGCCCTTTCCTTTTCCCCCTCAGCCGCTTTAGCTTTGAACTGGATTATATGGTAGACCAGGCATGGGCCAACTTGGGCCCTCCAGGAGCTTTGGACTTGAACTCCCATAATTCCTAACAGACTCAAGCCCTTTCCTTTTCCCCTTCAGCCGTTTAAGCTTTGAACTGGATTATATGGTAGACCAGGCATGGGCCAACTTGGCCCTCCAGGAGTTATGGAATTCAACTCCCACAAGTCCTAACAGCCTCAAGTTCCTTCCTTCCCCCCCTCAGCCGCTTAAGCACTTGAGGCTGTTAGAAATGGTGGGAGTTGAAGTCCAAAACCCTTGGAGGGCCCAAGTTGGCCCATGCATGAGCTATCTTGACCTACTAATTTGCATATGGTTTCTGACTGGAGGACCTAAGTTTGTCCGTGCCTCCTCTACCCTTTTTTCCTTAATGGAAATGTGTATGTGTGACCCCTTTCCTATTTTTACCTTCTTGTTTAGCAGATTCCTCCTGAGTGCCAGTCCTGAGAATATTCCCTCTTCCAAGTCTTTGGTTGGTTATAAGGATGGACAAGCAAGGAGGCGAGGGAGGCCTCATCCACACTGAGTGACCATTGAATGCACACAGTATTGAAGAAAGTCACTTCTCTATGCAGATGACTACAGAGGAAACCCTGGAAGCAGTTTGAGACCCGGATGGTGAGGGGAAAAATGTTCTGTTCCTAGTTTGAAAGTGTTATTTCCTGTTTGATTGTGCGGTACTTACTTTGAAAGTAGTTGTTATACTCCAGAAACTTCGTTTTATGGCTGCCACTAACTATGTTGAATTGGTTGAGATTCTAAGAGATAGTCATTGAAAAACTATAGCAACATATCCTGCAGGATGTCCCCTAAAAACAAAGCTTTTGCAGTTTAATACACTTTTCCCCATGCTTTTATGGTAGAACCAATTAGAAAATGACACTGATAACCCAGGAACAAAATTCGTGTTACATAGTGTTCTCTACCCATAATCTATACTTTCTCCAATTCACCTTAATCCATAGAGGGAGGAGGGAGAGAAGAGACTTGTGGTGTGGATGGAGGGGTTCAACCTTCCTAAAGCCCCCACCCCTTAATACACTTCCTCATGTTGTGGTGACCCTCAACCGTAACATTATTTTTGCTGCTACTTCATAACTGTAATTTGCTATTGTTATGAATCATAATGTAAATATCTGACAAGCAGGATGTATTTTCATTCACTGGACCAAATTGGGCACAAATACCCTATACGCCCAAATCTGAATACTGGTAGTGTTGAGGTGGGGGTTGATTTTTGTCATTTGGGAGGTGTAGTTGCTGGGATTTATAGTTCACCTACAGTCAAAGAGCATTCTGAGCTCCACCAACAATGGAATTGAGGCAGACTTGATATACAGAACTCCCATGACCAACAGAAAATGCTGGAAGGGCTTGGTGGGTATTGACTTTGAGTTTGGGAGTTGTAACTCACCTACATCCAGAGAGCACTGTGGACTCAAACAATGATAGATCTGGACCAAACTTGGCACGAATACTCAATATACCCAAATGTCAACACTGGTGGAGTTTGGGGAAAATAGATCTTGATATTTGGGAGATGCAGTTGCTGGGATTTATAGTTCACCTACAATCAAAGTGCATTCTGAACCCCACCAATGATAGAATTGGACTAAACTTTCCACACAGAATCCCCATGACCAAAAAAAAATTTCTGTGTTTTCTGATGGTCTTTGGCGACTCCTCTAACATCCCCCTTGTGACTCCACAGGGGTCCCGACCCTCAACCGAAAGGTTGGAGGTTCGAATCCAGAGAGCAGGATTGTAAAACACCAAACATCCGGGCGTCTCCTGGGTAACTTCCTTGCAGTAGGTCAATTCTCTCACACCAGAAGCTGCAAGTCGTCTTGACACGGAAAAAAGGGGACCTCCATGTTTCCCAGTGGTGCGCCAGGCCCCTCTTCTCCCCTCTACCCCAAACCCCTTCGTTTGCTCCAGACGCGGCCTGGAAATTAAACGCAGGCGCCCCAGGCAAGGTGGCCGGATGGAGGGAGGGAGGGAGGCTGGGAAGGACCCAGGCCGCTTTAATGAGGAAAGAGAGCTGGCCCTTGGGCGGAGACCAGGCTCTTGGGGATCTCCCAAAACTGGTAGAGAAACTGTGTGTCAAACTGCATCCATTCTACAGCAGGCATGGGCAAACTTGGGCCCTCCAGGTGTTTTGGACTTCAACTTCCACAAGTCCTAACAGCCATTGTTTCCTGCCTGGAATTCCTCTGTTTTCTGAGTGTTGTTCTTTCTTTATTGTCCTGATTTTAGATTTTTTAAAATATTGCTAGCCAGATTTTGTTCATTTCCTGGGTTCTTTCTTTCTGTTGAAATTAATAGGAATCAGGAGCTGTTAGGCTCAAAAATAACCTTCCCTTGAGGGTTATAAATATAGCAAGAGTGCCAGAAGCACAGTTCATAAATAGCAGTATAGAGAGCAAGGATTCGTCTCGATTCAACAGGATGGAACAGGACTGCAGGAGCCACAACTCCATAGGTTTGTGTGTGTGTGTGTGTGTGTGTGTGTGTGTGTGTGTGTGGAGCGATTTGAGAAACTGCAAGTCGCTTCTGGTGTGCAAGAATTGGCCATCTGCCAGGACGTTGCCCAGAGGACGCCAGGATGTTTTGATGTTTTACCACGCTTGTGGGAGGCTTCTCTCATGTCCCCGCATGTGGAGCTGGAGCTGACAGAGGGAGCTCATCCACGCTCTCCCTGGATTCGAACTTCCAACCTGTTGGTCTTCAGTCCTGCCAGCACAAGGGTTTATTTTAACCCACTGCGCCACCAGGGGCTCCAACTTCATAGGTTCAAAATATATGTTTATTGAAGTCAAAAGGAATCCATTCTGGATAGAAAAGTTTATTGGAGCTAACTAGCTTAATAAGCTATCTTCTAAGAAAAGAAAAAGAGGGTAAAAATAAGGAAATACCCATGCAGCTACATCTTGCCTGGAGGAAGGCGAGATGTGTTCGCACTCAAGGAAAACAAAGGAAGAGAGAGAGAGGCCAAAATGGAGAATGAAACACATGGACAAAATAAGGCAATCAAAAGACCTTTAAAGAGGAAGTTAGCTCATCCCTCACAGATATCACATTGCTAAGTATTCAAAAAGGGAGGGGACAGAGTAAGACAAAGCCCCTTCTGATATAGGCAAGCATATCCCTCACTCTATAATATCTAGGCTAACTACTCATTGAGGGCTGGAGACTTGTGCAGTCCAGGATGAAACCCAACATGCTTGTGGATTTCTATGGCTTCCATAAAGCCACCAAATCAAAATAAATACTATAAATGCTGAATCTGAGCTGTTAGGCTCAAAAATAATAATCAGCTGGGGTGATTTCACCATAAATATAGCAGAGTGCCAGAAGTAAACTTCATAACCAGCAGAAATTTACATGTGATGTGCTGGGATAAACTTCTGTTCTCTCGGATGGCACAGGATTGCAGAGTCAGAATTTTAGGTTCACAACGTATTTATTGAAGTAAAAGAAATGCATTCTTGATAGAAAAGGTCTTGGAGTGAAGTAGTTTACTAAGGCCCCTTCCACATAGCTGAATAAAATCCTACATTTTCTACTTTGAATGGAATATATGGCAATGTGGACTCAGATAACCCAGTTCAAAGCAGATATTTTGGGATTTTATGCCTTGATATTATGGGTTATTTGGCTGTGTGGAAGGGCCCTTAATCCCATCTTCTAAAGAGGTAAAAAGGTAAAAGTCCAAGCAGCTACATTTTGCCTAGTGAGAGGCAAAATGTGCATCCTCCTAGGTAGAAAGAAAAGCAGAAAAGACTGGAAACATGGTGAATGGCCACGTGGCTAGCCCAGGGAAATAAAAATGCCTTTAAAAAGGAAGTTCATTCACAAAATTCCATTCCTACATCATTAAAAATGAAGAGACAGTATGAAAAAACTCTTAAATCAGGACAATAAATAAAGAACAACACTCAGAAAACTGGGGAATACCAGACAGGAAACAATCAGGGCCAGCTAATACCTCCCAACAAAGGATTCCCCCAGGCAGGAAGCAGCCAGGCTTTGAAGCTCAAGGTTATTCAATGGTAATCAAGCTGGCCAATTGCAAATTCACACTTGCCTCAAGCAGATAGGAATCTGTTAGGAATTATGGGAGTTGAAGTCCAAAACACCTGGAGGGCCGAAGTTTGCCCATACTTGCTTTAGAGTATTTAGGTCTATTTCGCTTGTATCACATCTTAAACAGGAAGACTTTATTCTGTAGCTCCTTAACCATGAGGGCCTGGAAACACAGACCGCAGCCTCTGACAGGACATTTACACCATAGAATTAATGCAGTCTGGCACCACTTTAACTGCCTTGACTCAATACTCTGAAGTCATAGGAGTTGTAGGTTTAGAAGCTCTTTAGCCTTCTCTGCCAAAGTAGTTCTGGCACCTCATCAAACTAGGAGGCTTCCAGGATTCCACAGCATTGAGCCATAGTAGTTAAATTGTGCCAAACTGCATTAGTTTTATAGTGTGAATCCACTTCTATTCACCAAAGTGTAGACTAGCCACTGAACTGGAGAGTAAGATCCAGGTCTTTAAGCCTTTCTAGAACATAAGAAACCTTGGGGTGGAATCCTGAAGTGCAATTGGTATTTTTTAATTCCTGGATTTGACTTGGCCTGGTTTCTCACCCTGTGGTTCAGGGTCGGTTGGAGTCAAGTTTTGGGACTTCCAGACCATCCTCTTCGTGGGAAGCCAGGTAAGTCTACATTCCCTGAACTGGTGGAAAGAAAGAAATGTTTTAAAATTAAGTTTCTGGATTTTCTAAATGCTGTGTTTCTAAACCCAAAGAAAGGTCCTGAGTGGATAAAAACCAATTCGCTGGAGCAGTTGCATCCCTTTTCTGATTTTCTCTTTCTCCAGGCATTTTGTTCACAGGAATTTAAATTAATCCAAGGGTGGCATAGACTGCACCTGTTTGATGTGCTTCCCTTGGATGCTGTGACCCGCTTTGAGTGCTGCCAGACCAATAGTTGAAAGGAAGAGAGCTTGGAGAACAGTAGGCTGGCCCTCATTCATTCAGAGGGAGATTGCTCCAGAGCAACGTAAGCTGGCAACCTTGACTCTGAATCTTTTATTATTGCGTCTGAATTCAAATATATCAGGCACAAATCACGGTGACTTTGGGGGAGGTGCCTTAAATAATCTCAACCTCCTCCTCCTCTTTCTCCTGCTCCTCTTCCTCCTCCTCTGCCTAAATCATCTCCCCCTCCTCTTCCTCTTTCTCCTTCTCCTCTTCCTCCTACTCTGCCTCCTTCCTCTTTCTCCTACTCTGCCTCCTCCTCCTCCTTTTTCTCCTCTTCTTCCTCCTTGCCATTAATATTGTTACTGTTATTATTTACTGCTACTATCACTCTTCTCATCATCTTTTGATTCTTAAGGATAGCTCTTACCTTCCTGGATGTTTTCCCCGTGTTTACAAAAGTATAGCTCAGTTGTTTTCAGGACAGTGTTCTAGTCTGAGCATTGGAAACCCGGGTTCACATGCCTGCTTGGCCACGGAAAGCCACTGGGTGAATCTGGGCAAACCACATTCTTTTTGTTTCAGAGGAAGGCAAAGGCAACTTCCTCTCTGAATAAATCTTGCCAGCAAAACCCCCTCGTTGGTTCGCCTTCGGGGCCCGCCATAAATTGGAGAGGACGCCATAAACACCTTGAAAGTTCACAACAACAATAGCAAGTCGCCTTTGACCAGGGGTCGATTCTCAGCACTATCCGTGGCCAGCAGAGGGCACAAAAGGCGACTTAGATGCGTGTGGAAGATCTTGCTCGTGTGAATACTTCTCATCCAAGCGGGATTGGGATGTGTTTTGGGTGAAAGTATTCCTAATTATCTTTGTTTGTAAGGTGATCTGCGGGTCAGGTTTACCGAAGCAAAGTAAGGACAGGCGGAAGAGCTTGGGGACAACACCAAGACAAAGTGCTTGCACAAATCAGATGTTTGGTAGTATTTTGATTGAATCGATAAAATGCCATTAGAGGGTCGAGTTTAAAGGGCCTTTCTCTTTCAGCCTGTTTACTTCTAGAACACACTCTGCTCAGGAACGTTTGGAGAACTATGATCTTTGGAAAGACATGACCTTGTTAGAAATCATAGCCTTTTGGGAAAATGATGTCACAACCTTTTGGGAAATGGAAATCTCCATAACCTTTTGGAAAATGGCATTCACCACCATTTTGGGAAAATCAGGAATCTCCCTGAGAAGTTAAAAACTCACTTGAGTCAACCTTCTCCTTAGTATTCACTAGTATTCATACAAGGCAATTACATTTTTCAGCTGTTAAACTGATGTACCTAGATATCTCTTTGAACTGTTAGGGACAAAGATATGCCAATGCACAAACACACACACATAGTAGAGTTTCAGAAGTGTTCTTTCCTGTTGCCCAAAAACCATCTACTCTTCCTTAAAACATCTTGGTTTAAATCATGCTCTCAAGAGACAAAAGTAAGGTAGACTTCTTTAAAAGTAACATAATTGGTTTACTCACAAACTTCATGTATTCAGCATACTTTGCATATCAATCTAGTTACAGATAGACTTTGCAGCAGTTTCTCTGTGCAGATAACACAGGGCATCTTTCTTAAAATCAGTCCAAAGTCAAAATTATCTTTCTGTTCTGAGAGTCTGATTGGTAGAGTCTCTGTTCTCTAAAGTCCAATGGAGTCTGCTTCTACTGGCATCTGAAAGCATACTGTTTCTAAAATGGAGTCTGAGTCCTAAACAGTCCACTGGCTAGGGTTGCTCAGAGTTAAAACTGGAGAATTGTGTGAATCCATTCCTCCTATTTGTGGACCCAGCCATTGACTCAACTGCCAAATGGCAAGTCCCACTGCTTTACTATGTCTACTGGAGATGGGCCTATCAACAGGATTCAGACCTCTCAATTCTCAGCAGGAAATCTACTTGCATTTGAATGCAATTTTCCTGCTTCTTGAAAGGGAGTTGGACTGGATGACCCATGAGGTCTCTTCCAACTCTATGATTCTATGCATTTGCAAGGTGAAAACATGGAAGGACCCCAACAATTTCTGGTCATCTCTAAAGACAAAAAATGGAGGGCTAGGAAGTCATTGCTGGGTGGGTTCTGGAGGAACTTAGCTACTATTTCCTTTTTCTCCAGCCATATGGTGACCCATGGACATTATAAACCACATTAAGGTGGTTCTTATTTTTGTTGTTTTTGCTATTTGTCTTCAAGTTGCCTCCAGCTTATGTAGATCTTCTTATAGGGTTTTCTTGGTAAGATTTATTCAGAGGACTTTGAGCATTGCTTTCTTCCAAGGCTTAGGGAGACTGACTTGTCCAAAACCACCCAGTGAATTTCCAGGACTGCCCACCCAGGGATTCAAATCCAGGTCTTGCCCTTGCCTACCAGCTGTATAAGCGAAATAGAAAACAAGGCCCTTCTTTGTGTGAAGGTGGTTCCTTTCTATACCCATTGCCATAAAGTCCTTGCCAGGGTGCCCAAAGCCACCTCCTGAAGGCAAGCTAGCCTGGCATCACCTGTGTACAGGGCTGGCTTAACCATTTAGAGGAAGATAAGTCTATGCTTAGGGCATCAAGGGAAGAGAGGCACTACAGAAATTTTCCACTGCCAGATCTACCATGAACCACATGGTGTAAAACTGTAAATGGCACACCTGATAGATTCCACAAAAAGGAGCTCCCACAATGAAATACAGTGGAAGTATGCAAAATGAATACTATTTTCCATCTTACTGTAAGTTTAGATTCATTTCAAAATAACTAAATTTTATTTGATGTTTTATTGTTTTTCCTCCCATTAGACATATGGGGGGGGGGGCACCAACATTTTCTAAGTGCTTAGGGCCTCTCAAGGTTTATATATGTGTGTGTGTGTGTTTGTGAGAAGAGATGCCCCCCACACTGTGGCTCAAAGTAACCTCCCTCCTCCACCCTTCCCTCCCTCTTTTTTTCTTCCTTCCTTCTTTCATTCATCCATTCTTCCTCCCATTCTTCCCTCCCTCCTTCCCTCCTCCTTCCTTCCCTATCTTCTCCCTCCCTTCATTCCTTGATCTGTCCATCCCTTTTCCCTTCCTTCTCCTCCCTCTTTTCCTTCCCTCACTCCATCCCCACTCCTCTCTCTTCTTCCTTCTTTTCTTGCTTCCTTCCCCCTCTATATTTTTCTTCCCTCCTTCCCTCCCTCCCTCTCTCCTTCCCTTCTCTCTCTCTTTCCTCCTTCCTTCCTTCTCCCCCCCTCCCCTTCCTTTCTTTCTTCCCTCCTTTTTCTCCTCCTTCCTCCCTCCCTCATCTCCTTTCCCTCCTTTCTCTCTTTCTTTCCCCCCCTCTCTCCTTCCTCCTTCTCTCTTCCTTCCTTTCCCTCCCCTCCCCTCTTTCTTCTTCCCTCTTTCCTTCCCTCCTTCCTTCTCTTCCTTGCTTCACCCTTCCTTCCTCTTTCTGCTTCCTTCCCTACTTCCCTCTCCCTTCCTTCTTTTCCCCGCCTCCTCCTTCTTCCTCCCTCTTTTCTTCCTCCCCTCTTCTCCTTTCTCCTCCTCCTTCCCTCCTCTCTTTCCTCCCTTCCTCCTCTTCCTTCCCTCCTTTCCTTTCTCCTTCTTTCCCCCTCTTCCTTCCTTCTCTTTTCTTCCTTTTTTTTCCTCCTCCCTACCTCCTTTCCTTCTTTCTCATCTTTTCCTCCTTCCCTTTCTCTCCTTTCCCCTCTCCTCTCTTCCTTCCCTCCCTTCCTCCTTCCTTTCCTCCTCCCTCTTTCCTCCCTCTTTTTCCTTCCTCTCTTTCCTTCCTTCCTTCTTTCCCCCCTCCCTTCTTCCTCCCTCATTCCCTCCTCCTCCTTTCCTTCCCTCCTTCCCCTTGGCTCCCATCTGTCGCCGCTCGCCTTCCCGGGCCTCCTGCTCGCCCTCCGGCCGCCCAGCTTGTCTGGGTCCCGCAATATTTACAGCTGGGCGCCGGGGTCCCACCCCCCGCGTGACTTTTCGCTGGAAATGCCAGGCCCGGCCTGCCCACTCCGGTTGCGGCTCTATTAATCATCTCCGCCAGGACTGCCACCAGGCAAAGGGGGGCCTCCTCGCCTCGCCTTTTCAGTTTATACAGAACAGGATCATTTACATAAAGTCCTTAAGGCAAATAACTGTTGGGGCTCTAATTTATATCTGATCGAAAATTAGCCGTCATTATGCGCTCCATTAGCAGCGTCTTTAATGTGCTTCTAAGCACCATTTGTCAAGCGGCTTGTTAATATCCTTCAAGTCTTTAAAGTTGAGAGCTCATTAAAGAGGGGCGCCCGGTTATTGATGTCATTTAGATGAGTTTGGAAGAGCAAGTGCGCCAGGCCTGGAATGGACAACCTGCCAGAACAAGGCCAGGAAGAGGAGGAGAGAGAGAGAGAGAGAAAGAAAGGCTGGCTCCTGACAAAGGAGAGGAGAAAGAGGGGCTGGGTGGAAGGAGACAGGAGACTTCAAGAACTACACAGGTCTCTTGGCAGGGCTTCTAGAACACAAGGCCAGGCACCCAAATAGCTGCCTCTTAGGATCCCTGCATTCATTCTACAGGCACCACTTGAATTGCCATGGCTCATGCTAGGGAATCTTGGAAACTGCCATTTTACAAGGTCTCTGGCCTTCTCTGGCCTGGCCAAACTACCAATCCCAAAACCCCAAACAGCATTGAGCCATGGTATCTCAAAGTGGTATCAAACTACATTAATTCTACCATGTAGATCAGTGGACCTCATCCTTCCTAATGTCATGCCCCCTTAATAAAGTTCCTCATGTTGCGGTGACCGCCCCCCCCCCCCCAACCATACAATGATTTTTGCTACTGTTATGAATCATCATGTAAATATCTGAGATGCAGGATGTATTGTCATTCAATGGACCAAATTTGGCACAAATATCCCAAATGCCCAAATTTGAATACTGGTGGGATTGGAGGATTAATTTTGTCAATTGGGAGTTGTGGTTGCTGGGATTTATAGTTCACTTACAATCAAAGAGCATTCTGAATTCCACCAAAGATGGAATTGAACCAAACTTGGCACACAGAACTCCCATGACCAACAGAAAATA